CCGCCGCAGCGCGCGGGCGCCGCCGCGCGCCGCCGGGCGCGCCGGAGGACGCGCCGCCGCATCGTCCGCTGCCACCGCCCCAGATGGTGGGCCCCGGCCTGCCGCCTCCGTTGACCCCTCTGATTGCTCTTGCCCTCCCTTCGGATCATTGGCAGCCGCTGCCGCAAGCCCCTCCTCCCCTGACTCCTCCCCTGCAGGTTCTTCAACCCGCTGCTCCACCACCACGTGCAACCGGCGCTTACGCATGCGCCCGGCCTGCTGCTGAGCCTCCTGCTGCGCCCGCCGCTGCTGCAGCCGCGCAGAGCGGTCCGCCGCCGCCGCCGCCGCCGCCGCTGCCGCCGCGCGTTGCGGCGCCCAGTGCCCCACCTGCGCGTGGCCGCCGCAGCCCTGCGCCGAGGGGCCGCCCGGCAGCGCTGTCAGGCGCAGCTCGTCGCACCACAGCTGCAGCTGGCGGCGCTTGAGGCGCTCGCGCTTCCAGACCTGGTCCAGCAGGGTGCGCATGACCTGGGGAGGAGGGAAAAGGGGAGTGGCCAGGCGGAGAGGCGCTTTTGAGACCATAGGGGTGATGGACGGCACGTGCGTTTGTGCGTGTGTGTATGTGTGTATGGTCTGCGTGCGCTCACCGGGAGATGCCTCGCCACGCTGTCACTCCGCTGCAACGCCAGGGCAGTGACACTTACACACACTTACACGATGCAACCCCTCACGTGCTCGCCCACAGAGCAGGCCAGGACAGCCCACCTCCAAGTCAGCGCGGGCTGCAAACAGCGCGTGCGTCGCGTCCTCTTCCCGCATCGGCCGCCTCCGCCCCGAACCGCCGCGCTCGTCCCGCGCGTCGCCGCCGGTGAAGGGCAGGGCCGCGCAGCCGCCGCAGCCGCCGCCGTCCCCGAGGATGTGCGCGAATGCCACATACTTCCAGGGCACCTGGCAATGAGAGGGGCGGGCGCCACGGAGCGGCGGCCGTCGACGCGTTGCACAAGGCGGCAAGAGCTCGCGCGCTTCCAGCTGTTACTCAGCCGAGCGTGCCAGTCGACTCGACTGCCAGCATCACCGCACAGTTGTCAGGAGAGCCTCATCCCAGCCAGCCCTGCCAAAACGTGATGTGTTGCGGGACGACCACCACCCAAAAAAGGCCCAGGCCACAGGCAGGTGCGTTCGGCTGCGCCTGGCGCACCTCAAGCCACATCCACTCCAGCAGCGGCCCCCCCTGCTCCCCGCGCCGGCGCAGCCAGTGGGCGTACAGGCGCCCCGCGGCCGCGGCGTCCGGCACAAGGCGGGCCAGCGCCTCGGCGGCGCGCGCCTTGGGCAGCAGCTGCTTGGTCGCTGGTATTTTCGGCGCAGCGGGGGGTGGCGACGAGGGGGCACCTGGGTGGGGGCGCAGAGGGCGCAGGGGTGCGGCGAAGAGGGCGTGGGCGACGTGGCTGGGGTGCGGGCTGTCAAAGCAACACGGGTGACATGGCTGCACAAAACTGATCTTAGCATCACCAACAAAGCTGAAAGGTGCTGTCGGGGCCTGGAAGCAATCTCAAAGCTCCAACATCCGCCTTGCCTGCCTTACCAGCACAGGGGGCCACCCCTCCGGGCTCACCGCCATTGAGCTCGCGCCACCACGCGCCGACCGCCGCGAAATGCAGCGTCTCAAGCCGGTCGATGGCGCGCTCGTAGGCGTCAAGCCCCAATCGGCAACCCTGCCCATCCTCTGCGGCCGCGCCAGCGGTGCCGGGCACATGGCGGCCGCGCTTTGGCGCCCGCTGCGGCGACTCGGCTGTGCCGCCTCGCGCGTTGAAGTCGTGCAGCCACTCCTCGTCAATCTCATCTGCATCATACTGCGCCGGCAGCTGGCCCTCCTCATCTTCCTCGCTGTCGTCATCCCCAACGCCGACGGGGCCGGCGCCGCCGCTCCTGCCGACCAGCTGCTGCTGCTGCGGTCGCCACCGCAGGTAAGGCGCCGCGGGGCCGTAGCTAGGGGCGCCGGCAATCGTGGCGTGCGGCCGCAGCGCGGCGCGGTTGTGGCGGTAGTCCTTGACCACCCTCACCCCAGGAATGTGTATGGGACGCGCGTGGTCGCCGCCGGCGGCGCCGCCGCCATCGACGAGGCTGCCATCATTCTTCCTCTCGATTGGTGCTGACCGCGAGCCGCCAGCCAACGGCTGCGCCTTGCTCGCCCCTGGCGGCTTGGCCGCCGCCAGATGACGGTGCAGGGCGCCGCCGTCGACGGCGCGCAGCTCGGGCGGCACTTCGCGGCCCGCCCAGACGACGGGCAGGCGCTCGTCGCAGCCCAGCGGGCGCGGCCGCGGGGTGCGGGAAGTGCTCATGTTGCTGCCCGAATGCGCCGCAGACGTGGGCTGGAGCGCGTCTGCATTGCAAGTGGGACATGGGTACGCAACTTGATGTGTCTGCATGTCAGCATGGACATGTTTGAGCGTCAGCACAGGCATCACTAGCAGCTTCGCGGGCCCATCTAGAGCGCGTTGAACGGCATAGGCCGACTGGTCGCACTTGTTGAGCAACGTGTTGGCGCCAAATCGCTCAGCACGCACGGGCGCCGATCAAATGCCGCTGCAGCCCCACGATCGCACCTGTCACAATCAGCCTATTCTTGCCGGCCCCCACGGCTGCGTGCCGTGAAGCCAAAGCGCATCCTGCATGGGCGGCGCCAGCACGCGCAGCGCTTTGGTTGGCGATCAGCTGCCAACCCGCTCTGTGGCCTCCAGTGATCTATTGATTAGACCTGTTGTATACGGTTTGGTACAGCAGGACGGGTCGAAGTAGCGAATACAGTATGCAGAGCGAGCCCCGCAACAACAGCGTTCGCAAAACCTGAGGTGCCCAATCAGCAGACAAATACAATGGAATTTCTTATTCAATTTTTTCATGCGAGCCACACAAGAGCCAGATCACTGCTTCAAAGAAGCTGGAGGGGCAGCAGTGCGCACAGCGGCGAGCAACGACAACACCCTGCGCGGTAACTGGAACGGTCCTTTTTCTGTTGGGACGCAGCGCCCGATAGCGTGGCTAAGGCACTGATACAAGGTCAGGGCAGCAACAGGGGCCGACCTGCAAACGCGGGCGTGGATGGAAGCCGCCTTGCCGCTTGCTTACGCGCTGTGGAGCAAGTGTACACAGCCTGGATCAGCTTTTGGCCTGGCACAGTAGGCCTGGAGCACGACGGCGGCCCTGAGTGGCCTGTGCTCAGACGGCCGCCCTCCTGCTTCGCCCCTCGTTGCTTCTGCCTCGAGATATCGCGAAAAGCTTGCAGCGAAGCAGACACGTGGGGCGCGTTGCTCTCTGTGCGCTCGCAGTGGCTGCTCACTCCGCTGCACCACCTGCGCCGCACTGTCCTGGCCGCCGCAGATGGGGCGCGTGATCCGCACCCAGCGTAAGGGCCGCGGCTCCGTGTTCAAGTCTCACAACACGCACCGCAAGGGCGCGGCCAAGCACCGCGTCTATGATTCCGCCGAGAGGCACGCCTACATCAAGGGCGTGGTGGCGGAGATCATCCACGACCCCGGGCGTGGCGCGCCCCTGGCCAAGGTGCGCAGAGCATGTCGATTCGCCACACAGCGGGCGCCTCTGCGCCACTGCGCTCGCGGCGGTGGGGCGGTGTCAGTGGCGTGGCGGCTGACAAGCGGTGTGCATGCAAGGATTGCTGTGTTGCAGGCTGCGGCCGAATTTTGCCAGCTGCGGCGCCGGTGGCGACGCCGCTCGTCACGCGGCTGGTTGAGGGCTCCCACGCGCCGCGTCGCTACCGCACGGCAGGTGGTGTACCGCGACCCGGTGCGCTACAAGCTGCAGAAGGAGCTGACCATCGCGGCGGAGGGCCTCTACTCTGGCCAGGTGAGCAGCGCACGCGGCGGCTCTGACCTGGCTCACCATCACCGCGCAATGCTGCCCTGCACAACCGCACTGCTTAGCATGTAGGAGCAGTACAACAGGCGGCGCGCAGCACGAGCCAGTGAGCAGCTAGCTTTATCATAGGTGTGAAGCCAGCTGTACGTAGCAGCAATTGGCGGCAGCAGGACCTCCGGCATGAGCTGGGGCGTCAGTATCAGTGGCCTGTGCCGCAGCCACTCCAGCTGCGACAGCGGCGTCACCAGCAGCCGCAGCAGCAGCAGCAGCAGAAGCTACCATGACCCCTCTTGCAGCAAGCAGAGCAGCTACACGCCAGGATTAGTAGATGGCGCCGGATTTCCGGCAGAACCAACCAGGCATATTCCCACTGTCAGCATAAGCCCTGCAACCTCTTGCCTTCGTCCCCCCTCGTCCCCCACATCAAACCCCCTGCTCCGCCCCCTCCCCCTGCAACCAGTTTGTGTACGCCGGCAAGAAGGCCGTGCTGTCGATCGGCAACACCCTGCCCCTGGGCGAGATGCCCGAGGGTACCATCGTGTGCAACGTGGAGGCCAAGGTCGGCGACCGCGGCACCCTGGCGCGCTGCAGCGGCGACTACGCCATCGTGGTGGCGCACAACCCCGACTCGGGCATCACGCGCATCAAGCTGCCCAGCGGCTCCAAGAAGGTGGTGCCCAGCTCGTGCCGCGCGACCGTCGGCCAGGTGTCCGGCGGCGGCCGTACCGAGAAGCCCATGCTCAAGGCCGGCCGCGCCTACTGGCAGGCCAAGGCCAAGCGCAACAACTGGCCTGTGGTGCGCGGTGTGGCGATGAACCCCGTGGAGCATCCCCACGGTGGTGGTAACCACCAGCACATCGGCCACGCGTCCACCGTCAGCCGCTGGGCCGCGCCCGGCCAGAAGGTCGGCCTCATCGCCGCACGCCGCACCGGTCGCCTGCGCGGCACCAACGTCGTCAAGCAGGACAAGGAGTAGAGCGCCCCCGCGAGGCGTGGCGCGGCGGCGGCGTGGCAGGCGCGGCGTTTGGCGCCAGCCGCCGCCTGGCTGCTCGGCGGCGGCTGCCAGTGCCGGTGCGCCGCGCACGGCTCCGGGCTGCCGGCTCTTTGCCTTGCGGTGCAGGTTTGAGGCGGCATGCTCGGCGCTGGCGGGCTTCGGCACTCTGGGCGGCCCAGGGCGTGGCTGGCTGCCTGCAGCCTTCTGGCTGTGTGTGGGGCGCGACGGCTGGGGCGCAACGCCAGGGTGGCCTCTCAGGAGTGGGCCTTGCTGCCACGGCTGCAGCGGGCAGCACGGCGCTCGGCTATGGCTGCGTGGCTCAAGCTTGGCCTGGCAGCACGGGCAATTTGGGCGAGCAAAGGGTGACGTGTAAACTTTTTGCTCGCGTCTCCAGGCTCGTGTCTCCAGGTTGTACACTGAACAGCTCGCGCTGTGTGGACAGCAGCACGTTGGCCTCCAGCGGACACAGTTTGGAAGGGGGGCTGGGTCCAGATTACACAGAGGCCTTTTTTGAATCAGGAGGACGATAGGTGCGCAGCAAGGGATGCTATGAGAGCTTGTCAAACAACCTCAGCCATGAATTATTCAAGAGTAACTTGTCAAGCTGGCTGCAGCTCAGCGTGGACCGAGCCGTGGTGCTGACAGAACTGTTTGGGATGTAAGAGGCAAAGGCAGCCAATGCTGCAATATTGCACGCAAGCAGGCGTGGCAGTGCAGCTGCAGTTGAAACGACACATTATGTAAAATGCATGCAAACTACGCGGCCTTGGCCTGCGGCTGCTGCTGCTGCTGTTGCTGCTGCTGCAGCTGCTGCTGCTGTTCCCGCTGCTCTGCCTCCGCAGCAGCCGCCGCCACGCGGTCTGCCTCCAAATATATGTAATAGGTGGCTGTCAGCAGCAGCCCAAACGTGGCCAGCAGCGTCACCGGCCCGCGCAGCGTCAAGTACCACACGGGGAGGTAGTTGGCGCGTGCCTTATCCACGACGTAGCAGGCCGGCAGCAGCAGGCACAGCAGCAGGCTGGCGGGGCCGGGCTCCACGCCAACGAGCCAGAAGCTGGCCAGGGAGGGCACGACGCTCCACCTGGGGAAAGGGCAGCGCCACAGACGCAGGAAATCGGCGTCTTGGGGGAAGGCAACACGAGGCCAGGACGTGCCCTGCCCCAATGCGCTGCCGCCCCGCCGCACTCTTCCCCAGTAGCCGCGAGCACTTCTTGACGCAAGCGGCCCCATATCCATGGGTATCGCGCATACATGTCCAGTCCAAGCAGTCTGTGACACCGTACCAAAGCAGCCGCTGCAACAGGGCCCCTGCACGCGCCGTTGCCCAGGCCCTGCCCTCACAGCGCGACTCACAAGTATGACTCCCGCGACACGCGCGCCAGCAGGGGCGACGCCATGGCTGCGCTCCCCATGGCGAGTCCCCAGTGCACTGCCCCCAGGAAAGTGACTATAGATATGCCGTAGCCCACCTGGCAGGGGGGGATGGGGTGGGGCGCAGAGGCTGGGGCAGGGGCAGAGGGGGCAACGGAGGGCGGGCGGGGGCGGGCCCAGACAAGATGCAAGCGCAGCATGCTGGGTCCCGGCAGGCAAGCGTGAGCCTGCCAGCGGCGCATTGAGGGCCGAGGTGCTGCCTACGCTCGCTGCTGCCGCGGGCGTGGCTCTGTGAGCCGGGGGGTGGGTCCTGTGTGCAATAGGTTGCCGCAACGTAGTGGCGG